TACTAAATCTAAATGTAAAAATTAAATCTTAAATTTTGCAGCTAAATGATAAAGCTTACATTTAAGGATTTTATAATGTTGCACAGTCTTTGCTGTTGGTGCGCAGCTGTTAAACCATCATAACATTAAAGCTGTTGAATATACATTGCATTTAAAATAAAAATGTGTTCATTGAAAACAGCGTTAGCATTGTTAGCGGCCCTCTGAAGGTTGCTTTCCAATCTGAAATACTTAAAAGTAAACTTCAACATTTAGCCATAACTTTTACATTTAACTTTTACATTTAGATTTGCAAATTTAGATTTAGGATTTACCATTTGAACATGAGATTCAAATCTAACATTTAGTAATAAAAAAAGTAAACTAAATAAAAATTAAATGTTAATGGACATTGTTTTTCTAGGATTTAACACTCGGAAAGTGAGCTAAATAATGAAAGTGTGTTCGCYACATTTTTTAATCTTTTGTTTTGCTTCCCGTCATAATGGCTATAACTCAATTAATTTTCACCTWGTGAGTTCAAATTAGATGAGGTTGTAGCTGAGAGTTATTCAGATCACATAATCTGAGGGTGACGTCTTCAGATATTGCATGAGATTACACAAACTTTATTCAGGATTTGACCACAACAGCTACAATACCAATATTTCAGCACATAAGCTGATCTTAGTCTAAAACAGGGGTTCTTAACRTTTTTGACRTCGGGGCCCAATTTACTGAACATAAAGTGACACGAGGRCCAGCGGCCCTCTGCGGCCCAAAGTTAAAAYCTGTTGTTCTTTTGAGGCCCTCAAGGTGGCGCTCGCGGCCCACGGGTTAAGAATCTCTGGTCTAAAACACCGGTARGAAAGGCTGTAATCATCATTGTTCCAAGTAATTGCTCTACCTCAGATTGAAAGTCACAAAGTCTGGTTTGGTCAGGGAAAATGTATTCTGGGTCTGTTATCATCATTTCCCACACAGTGGACATTCATCCTGCATTTATTTTTCAAGGGCTGATTTTAGTTGCACATCATTGTTTCGGTTTATCAGCAGGCGGCTGTGCTGAACTGAAACCCTCTGATAACGTGCGACACCTGGCCTGCACCAAACAATAAAACCATTATCTGCAGCTGCTTTTCTTACTTAAAAACCCTTTATGTCCTTTGTAATACATTAAAACTTAAACASAAGTCTAAACAAATGAATGCTGTGTATGTAAAGAGTTGTTTTGCTCTGCTGAACCTACTGATAAAATCCATGTTATTTTTTGTAAAAACTAATGCAAAACAAATATTATGGTAACTATACAAACAATCTACTACTGCAGCTTTACATTTTTGACAGGAAGCATCTATTTTCAAGTTTGCTTAATTCCATTCTGCAGTTTTTCTTCAGTGTGATTCACGCAGCATCGTTTTGCCCAGGGACACTTTAACATTTGAACTTAAAGATTTGACCTCAGACCTGAACGATAGCTGAAGCTGCTGATGGTGATCAATGATCCCAGGAAAAACAAGAGACAACTGCAGTGGCGGAGCTAGACATTTTTCTCAGGGGTGGCCAGATGGGGACCACTACTCACACAGGGGTGGTCAGGAAAATTATATATTTTTTTTACTTTAAAGTTTCAGCAGATTTTTGTGTTTTGGTCATTTCTTTATGTTCTTATATAGGCAGTGACTACCTTATAAACATGGGCGTCAGAAATCTGGGGGTCCTCCCCCAGAAAATTTTGAATGAAATAGATTCCATTTCCTGCATTCTAGTGTATTTTACCATGTTGTTTAAAATACTTTTACCTAAATAAATAAACACTTGATT